CGGAGAAATAAGTTTAAATGATATGCAGCAAAAAAAGTGCATAACTTAATAGGCCGAACAAGAAAGTCGTGTAGTTATGATATTATATTTTTCGTAATTAGATACAAGTAGAAATTTTTAGCAGGAATATATCTAATTAAAAGTCCTATGTTTCGAAATCGAAAAGTAAAAATCGTTTTCGATATGCCTTTTGTTTGCTTTTCTACGCCTTTATGTGATTTACTAATATTATATTCATAAATTATTATATTAACAATGTAAATATTTTCTGGAATTCTGTATGTTTATGTAATATTACATAAAAAGCTGCATTATAAAAACTTCACGAAAGTTCAGTTTTTGTAGTGTGAAATTAGTTTATTACTTTAGGACGTAACGAATTGTGAAAAGATTTTAATTAAACTATATAAGAATTCAAATCAGATTGTTGTATGATTTACGTAAGAATGGGTGTTTCGTAAATATATAAGTTAATGTTTATTGCACAGCTTATTAAGGCTCTCTGCAAAAAGGAAAATAATTTGTGAAAATTTTTTTTGGGCATGCACAAGCTCTAGTTTGTGTTACATATAAGGAAATAATTAGAGGGGAAAAAAATCCATAAAGTCAACCTTTCCCGAAAAGAATCAAATCCTCATCACAAGTACCGATGCTCAATTGTTTTATGCATATATGATGATCATTTAAGGAAAAAAAAAAAAAAAAAAAAAAACCTATGTGCTTTAAAAGGTGGATTAAGTTTTACATCGATTTTCATTGCTTGATCATATATATTTCTGTCTTTTTGGTTTTACTGATTTTTGTTCAAAATTGCGTTTGTAGATGCTTCTATTTTGCATTTTTGCTAGTGATATCATATACAAAAGAGATGAGCGGCAATGTTTTCATCCCATATATTTTCGTGTCATCCCATATATTTTCATCCATAATATTTTTATGTGCGCTAATTATACATATGAACTGATACTTTTGATAACATCACTTACAGTTTTTGAGTGCTAGCACTCGAGAATTTACTTTTTAAGTACTCATTTACGTTCTAAAAGTGTGTGAATATTTTGAATTTTTATTAGTCCAAAAGGGCAGTTTTCCCAGAAGGATTATTAATTTCGTTTTGGTATTTTGCGTTCATTCACTTTTCAAATTGTTGCCACCAAATATTATCGACCTGTATTATATTTAAAGAAATTAAATAATGAAGAATCTGAATGAATGTATGTTTATCGCATTGGGATAAAACAACGGTAACTAAAGACATCAAATTTTGAATAGCGTAATACTCCTGCGAATATGGGTACCTGGAAGCCAAAATTTGAAATTTGGAATTTGTTTTATTATCAATTACATAAATTTGGAATTTGTTTTATTATCAATTACATAAAATTTTACCTTGTAAAATTTTAAGGAATTTTTGATTAACAAACTCCAGGTTTTCAAAGCGAGCAATGGCAACATTGTAAAAAAAAAAAAAAAAAAAAAAAATTATCTCATTACTGTGCATCGCAAATTCTAAAGATATGCTCATTTTAAAATTATTTTTTGCGATATTGCTCTTGAACTGAATTTTAAGGTTTAAGTGTGAAGAACAGATAAAATAATAAATAAACACAAACACACAAATAAAATAAAAATCTGGAAGGTTTCAAATTTTTAATTACGTCCAAAGGGGCGTTTTTTTAACATTTTGTCTGTTACCTTTATTTATTAAATATCACGTTCATCGCACTTAAACCATAAAATTCAATTCAAAAGCAATATCGCAAAATAGTTTTAAACTGAACGTATCTTTAAAATTTCCGATACGCAGTTTCACGCGCTGGAGATAAAAATATTTTTTCTGTACAACGTTGCCATTGCTCGCTTTGAAATCCTTGAGTTTGTTAATCAAAAATTCGTTAGAGTTTTAGAAAATATTATATTGATAATGAAACAAATTCCGAATTTCAAATTTGGGCTTCCACATGCCCATATATGCAGTAGGATTACGTCATTCAAAACTCGATGGCTCTATGTACGGTTGTTTTATCCCAGTGCGAGAAATAGGCATACATTTATGCAGATTTTTTATTATATAATTTCTTCAAATATAATGCAGGACTCTAAGATTTGGTGGCAACAGTTTGAAAAGTGAAACGGACATTTATAGTGAACGAACGCAAAATTGCAAAACGAAAACAATAGTCCTTCAGGGACAAAGCCCCTTTGGACTAATAATAAATAAAGGTAGCACACTAAATGTTAAAAAATTCCCCTTTGTGTATAATTTAAAATCTGAAACCTTTTAGATTTTTTTTATACTGAAATTTGATTACAAAAAAGAAACGTTTACTCCTATTTATGACTTTAAGCTTCGTTTAAATATCTTAAACTTCTTTCTGACCTAATTTTGCGTTGGAAGTCATAAAAACGAATGTACTCATGAATCTGATATGATTTAGATCACGGGGATTACTAAGAAGAAGAAAAGAAATTCCTTTCTTGATTTCCAATGAGCTCTTAAGCATAAATTGTAACTATTAATAACGGAAAATATTTCTTGTCATTGTGATTAGCTTTAACTATTAATGTGAAAGAAATGTGTAACAATGTGGAAAATCTTCTACCAGAGATTTAATATGAAAAATATTAGTGAAATATTTGCTGGTACGTTGCATTTTTAAAATAATTACTAATCTCGTTAAATTAAATTGGATTAATAAAAATATTGTAGTTTATTTCGAAAATGTGCAGCAGATATATTAAGCAAATTGTTTAGCATAATTATAAGATTAATTACACCTGAAAACTACCTGTCAAATACAACTTGAATGAACCTTTCTAAAGGATAATATCAAAGAATAATATCATCAATCTGTTAATTATGAAAATTGTATCGTGATCTGCTACAGATTAAATTACACCTCATGAACAGCTTTGTAAAAGTAGTGAATATAAGTGGTTCAGATTCGATACCTGAGTGGAAAATTTCTTAATGATAAAAACAAAAATGGTATTTCTCTTCTTAAGAAGAAACAGAAAGAAAAAGTATAAATAAAATTAAACATAAGATCCTTTCCTATTTCTGAAACCAAACATTAAACTAATTTGGAACTTTTAATATTACCATTTGAAATGACATTCTTTCACGAATATTTTCTAAAACTTCCTGGCCTTTCCCAATGCTTGAAAATAATGGATAAGCTTTCGGAGTTATGTGATGCCAAAGACAGCAATGCATCATTAAGACTTCACATCTTGAACTCGCGACAAAATTTATTCCCCACTAAGTTTAAAGCAGCGAGTAAAAAGGATGTTGAAAGCTTTCATCAGAATCATAGGAGGCATCAAATCACTTGAATCACAATACCCTGTGCTTCTGTTACGCACTTAAGAGAGATGTGTTTCTTAAGCTAAATATGGAAAGAAGGTCATGTATACCCCTCCCCTCATAGTCGATTGTCTTCCCTCAGTCTTCATGAAAAAGCATCCATTTCTGCAAAATTTTCAATTGTGTAGCATAAAGTTCTTTGCACGGTTCTTGCATATTGAATTCAGCAGTAGAAACATTGCCGTATCTTAAAACATGTGGAAAAAATTGTTTTCTCGAAAATTTCGCGCGATTCTAAATTGCTACCAGCTACCTGCAATTTAGGATAGCGTAGCGCAAATGTAAGTTGCTAGCAGTTACTTTTCTTAAACCGTAGCAGATTCCTACCGAAATTAACGAAATAAATTCTAGCTTTCGTCAATCATTTAATAAATTATTTGAAGCGTAAGCTGATGAAAGTGATATTAAAAGTGATTGATATGAAAGTTATTTACAAGTTGTTATTAAAATCTATGTCCTTTATGTTTTATGGATTAAAATTCTTGTAGAAATGAAGGAAGAGCAGAAGGAATTAATTTAATGGAACATAAAAATAATTTTCTAAATATCAAAACAACAGCGTTCTCTTAAGTAAAATTTTCAGGAGACAAATGAGTTTATACTCTATCTTCTCAATGTCGGTTGACCCTTTTGCTCTAACGTACAAAATGAACTGGCTGCAAAACAATTAGATAAGCTTCAGATCCAGAGTAAGCAGTAGGGAATGCAGTACAGATTCGATAATGTGTAAGATCGTAAGGCGTAGGATCCACCGGCATAGGATCGAAACGGTAGTTTAGAAATCAGTTTTGATTTTATGTCGATGATGATGTTATGACGGTATTTATTTATTATTATTCCGCCTTCTTCACCTCTCAATGAGCAATACAGGTCTATCATGTCATCTTGATGGTTGCACCAGCAACCGATTTTCGATTGTTTATCTTTTCAACTTTATTATTAATAAACAGATTTAACATTACTGTATTACTTTTGTTGGGTGTTCCAACGTACAATATTTTGGGTATGTTAGTAGTACAAAATTAGCAAAAAGGGTTAGTTAGTTTAGAGATATTTACATGTATACATGAATGGAGGCTTGCTGCTTTTATATTTCGTCAGGTGCCTAGACCTGGTTATAAGCTACAATTATGTTTCTCTTAGAATAGACGTATTCTATGATGATTCTGACGCCTTGCTGTCTCCATAGTAACCCTGAAGACGGTGTTTGAGACTATGTGATCCCTGGAGCTGAGGAAGGAGGCTCTGATGGGAGAAATGGGTAGACAGTAGTGGATGTAATGTCATACGTCTGCTGAAGAAGCTGAAACACTGCAGGCGCACTTGACGTTTTGATGGCAGAACCTGCTGAGGTAGGCGGGAAATCTTCCGTGATTTGTGAAAGCTTGGTATAGATAGAAGTCTGTTTTGAGCATCTTGGTGGATACCACGGCAAAGATTGAGTAGGTGTGTCGACCGGTGTCTGAGTTGGCCGAGTGAGCTTGCCAGATGCACATGAAAGGCGCAGAAGATCCTGTGTTTGCCAGCGACTATGGAGAGTGGAACCTCTGAACCGATGAAAGGGTAAGTTTTGGCTTTTTTATCTAAAGAGTCTGCACTTTCGTTACCTTGGGTTGGTTTGACGACTACGTACCCAGAAAAGATACACTTGTCTGGAAGAAAACAGGATAAAAAGCGCTTCTTTTAATGAGAATTCGAAATCTTGCCAGCCATTCTTGTTCAGAGCCTGTAGGACTCTCATGCTATCCGTGTAGAAGCTGATGGATGGAAAATTGGTGTTGCCTGTCCAGACAGCTGCCTCCTTTAAAGTGAAGGATTCAGCCTGCAAAACCGAGACGTGTTCGTTAAGTCTGAACCGTGGTGAGTGAATTTCTGTATTGTTGTTGAACTCGACATAAACTGCACCTACTTGCTCTGAAACTTTGGAGCCATCAGAAAATATTTCTATGCCCTGTCCCTTTGGTAGATGTTTAGGCCATTTTAGATTTTTCGTGAGAGCTGGTTGGTTGGAAGTATAGTCGCACTGTGGTTCTAAAGAACGCTGGTCTATGAACGAGGCGTCAGGCGTCATCGAGTTGAAAGGAGTCCTTAAATTAAATTAACATGCAAGTGCCACATTCAGTTTCTGCTTTGAGATCCTGCTTTTTTTTTTTTTTTTTTTTTTTTTTTTTTTTTTTTTTTTTTTCCTGCTTTGAGTGGAGAACTTCGTCGCCAGGATCACGGAAGTGGAGGCACGTGTCCGGGACAAACCTGCACGTCTTGAAAGGGTTTGTGAATCCATGCGTCGACGTTATGAAACATATATTGTGGTGAATGGAAGGAATTTTGAATATCTTCTATAATTTAACTAAGTTCTTTAATAAAAGTCATATTAACACCTCTTTTGACAGCATTTCTTTCTTCCCCTCAACGCTTGCGAATATTGCCCTCTAGCAGTCGGAGTTCGTATTTTCGGACACAAGTTCCTGCTTAAATCTTCTTTGTCATGGTATGACAAACCAGAATTTTAAGTTTGGCAATGACCTTTTGAGACACCCTGTATAAACAGAGTTTTAACGCAAGCTGTCGAATTTCTTTTGGAAAGTTCTATTAAAGTTATAAGGTATTTCTCCTGCCTTCTTAGCATGCCTCCGTAGTGTAGTGGTCAGCGCACTCGACGCGTATTCGAAAGTTCCGTGGTTCAAGTCCCGGAGAGGGTATTGCTTTGCTTCCAAAATAGCCTTATGTCTCTATAGTGGCGCCCGAACTAAAAAGGTGGTGGATGATGATTCTCTACTACCAAGATTTGGCAACTGGCTCACCCTAATCCCTATTCGCCCTTTAAAAGGGGGTATTTCTCCCGCCTTCTTAGCGTGCCTTCGTGGTGTAGTGGTCTGCACACTGGACGCGTATTCCAGAGGTCCATGGTTCGAGTCCCGAAGAGGTAATTGCTCATTTTTTACATCTTCTGCTTCTGAAATAACCTAATATCTCTAAAAAATTACTGAAATGCTATCATAATGATAATACATATTTAGTATATATTTATCATCTCGATTATTGACAAATATAGGTAATGAAATTTTTTAATAGATCATTGTTATGACTATATGCTTTCTTGTAAAAATTCTCTCATTCACCCATTTGTGCTTAGAGAGGAGTTTTTTTCATTAAATCTATATTTCTCGCTCCTGGGATGTATTTCCAAAAGTTGCAAATAAGATGCCTTTTGAAATTATCAACAACCGTGTTGTACTTAATTAATTAATAATTATGTAAATTGAATGCCCTTGATAGTTTCTCGAAGCGAGGATGTCTCAGGAATTCGAAAGATTAATAATCACTTCCGGAAATTAATTCAGAACTTTGTTTTTCCTAAAAGCCTTACGGTCTGCAAGCTTTCTCCGACTCCATTAGTGCTTTCTTCCTCTACTAATGCTTTCTACCAACTTCTTGGATTTTAGTTGCTTTTCTTTTTCTCTCCATTTTCTCCAAAGCGCAGACAACACAGACGATAACTAAGCTAAAAACTACATTCTTCTAAGATGCGAAATTCGTGAAATTATTTATATATTTATTAGCATATTGGAATATATATATATATATATATGCATATGAACTTTTAAAAGTTATTCATTAAAAGTAAGAGCAAGAAAAATTCTTGTACTTAAGACACTGCTGGGCACCTTGATTAAAAAAATGCATATTTCCTGTAATGCATAATAATGTGGGAAAGGTTATCACAAAATGGAGAGCATCGCATTTTTCCAAATAATGAGTAAAATTCTTCTTTAAGCACTTTTTTAATGAGGAAAATAAAATTGAACTCAACTTAAACCATTAATCTCCCTAAGCCATTATTTTTTTCGAAATCAAATAAAAAATTTTACCTAACTTTTAAAAATAAATGAAAAATTTTACCGAACTTTTAAAAATAAATGATAAATTCTACCGAACCGTATCCGAAGCAGAACATAGATTTAGGTATTAGGAAACATTTAGAACAACTATAAAATTTTAATAATAATTTAACGTATTTTTGAATTAAACATTTTCCAGTCCGGACGATCAGCTATACCTTTGAATTGATAAAGACGATTGGAATACTATTACTTTGAAAATCATTGGCAAAATTAAGACCGAAAGAATTTCAGTTTTATTTTGATAAATTACTAATTTATGGACTTGAATCACTTTAGGGATGAAGCCTCTATTGTGTTTCATGTAGTTTTTGACTTCTTTCCTACATTTCAGGTTTTGGAGAATAATTTTTAGCTTCAGAACTTAGTTTCAAGTTTTATTTCGTAAAATAATGCATTCGAATGCTTTGTGGAGCTAAGTGTAATGTAGCCACGTTAAACTGCAACGTTAATGCATTATAAGTATAAATAATTCTAAAAATAATTCTAAATCCTGTATAAATTCCTCTATAAATAATTATAAAATTCGAAGTTACATCAACTTTTTTTTTTTTAAGTTCTGACGTTCAAAAAATATCCCGTTGTTTTTACTTCCTTGTACGAAGTAAAGGAAGTACTGTAATCAGGAAAAATTTCGCGCACCATATTTCAACAAAAATATTCATTTTTACCGCTATCGAGTTCCGTTTTATGATCCATTTTGACCGCTATCGAATGCGATTTAATGCCATCTGTCCCTAAGGACAGTTTTGGGGTTTTTCCCAAAACGGATTAGAAAATGGATTTAAAATGGATTCATAAGGGTTTTTTCCGTGAGATCGTTACGTAATTAAGTATGTTTGTATCTCGCGTAACTCAAAAATGAGTAACCTCAGAATGTTAAATTTTTTATATAGAACTGCTATAACATGTAGTTGTGCACCTCCCTTTCTGGTTCAAATCGGCCGCACCAAAAGTATATATGTACATACCCACTTTCTTACTCGGCTCGGGAAGCTCATTTTTTTTATTCTTTTATGTTGGTAAATTGTGCATTTATTGCTTTAAAAGTGATTGAATTATGTTGTTCTTATGTTCCGGTTACGGTTTTTAGGCCTTTAGTTAATCTGCATGCAATAGTCATAAAATTTTCAACAATTTAAATGTTGTGCGACTAAGCCTAATAGAGCTTACATTACATATTTGCTTACATTCGAAATTAACAGAATAGTGAATTAAGTCAGATTCTACACCTTCAGTGTCTTTTTGCCAAGTGATCTCAAGTCTTTTTTCTAACTGAAAATAATGTAATGTTCTAAACCTTGAATATTTTAGCTAATAGAGCACATTTTTATCAGTTATGAGACGCTTAGTTTCTTAACTACAATATGCCTTTGATATATCATTTAAAATTCTTAAAGTTTTCTTTTCTTTTTTTTTTTTTTTTCAGAAGATATGGCATATATTATCCGCGAGTTTAAGGTAATGGAAGATTTTTAAAATAATCATCATTTCGAATCAAAGTACACTGCCATTAAACGTACTACACCAAAAAGGAAAGCAAATAATAGTTGAATCTTATTTATTATATATGTATAGTATAATGGGAGGATAGAGCTTTCCCATCTGGTTGTTATCTGGCTAGACTTGAATGTCAGATATCGTATTTTTTTCCATGCGATTTCGAATCTATGCCAGAGTTCGTCAACTGCAGTAGCTGGTGAGTGGTGGTGTGTCAATCACTCGACAACACATGACCAGATGTTCTCAGTGACACATTTGGAGAACGTGCTGGCCAGTGCAACAGCCGGTCCCTCTCTATATCGAGGAAAATCAGAACAGCACGGGAAACATGAGACCATGCATTATCTTGTTGAAAGTTGGTGTCATGCAGACTTAGAAGATAGGCTAGACGTGTTAACAAGTCAGAAATGTGGTTGTCCATATTACCTACTACGTTGACGACAGGTTTGGGCAATTTAGTTTAATATCGACTAACAATTTGTTTTTTAAATTTGCATCTTTACTATCATTTTATGTTTAATCCTAGCCGGTCTAGATAATTATGGAGAAGTCCTGTCCAAAAGGTAAGCTAAGATTGCAAGCTTAGCACTTTAAAATAGAGACTGTGGTTCCTCTTAAAATAAAACTGTACTGCGAATTTTAGCAGAGTTAAATAGACAGGTCACTATAACTCGTATAAGCAAAATCAGTTGCACCTAATTTAATTAGATCCATAGAACTAGCTGAAGTGGCTTCAGATACTCTCAAACCTTAGCTGCCATATGGTGACCGGCATGTGTTTATAATATCGGCAAGCGCTGAGCCCGTATGACAATGACGAATACAATCTGACAGTTGCTGTCTTCCTCTCTCCTCCGCACACGGATATGTCTATCATGATTTGTACGCAAGATCAGGAGTTGTCTGAAAAGACGACGTAGTATCACTGCGTCTAGTGTCGTCGTTTATCGCCTCGCTGTAGGCGCGTCCGTCTTTGCCATAGCGTCAAGGAAACCAGCAACAAGGTCGCGTGCTGACAGTTCATGATGTTGCAGTCTTCGACGTACTCTCCGGGCAGACACTTCTCTTCCTGCATACGAGACAAATTCCTGAACTCAGTATATCTAACATACTGCATGATCTCGCCAGACCGAAAAGCCAATATGTCTGCTCTCTCGACGATTACTAAGCTGGCCTGCTTAGATCCAGCAACGCTCTCCTGGACTTATCGATTCCACATTCGCCTGATTAGTATCCCGAACCACACAAGCAGCAGTGTCGTGGAACGATAAACCGCAGTCCCGGTAGGCTACAATTTTGCCGCGGTCGAAGTCTGACACGTGCTGGAAGGGTTTCCCGAAGCGTGACCTTAATAAAAGCAACAATGTTCAAATGAGAATCCCGCTTGCAATCTTCTCATTTGTATACAATGTAGATGACATTACTCATACCTGCTTTGGATGCATGAGCTAATCATTTACATTTCTCAGTGTGTAATACCTGTCATGCAAATTTGACGTTTGTTGCATGCCACCTTCACAGTGTAGCAATTTGCCGCCTAGCCGGTGTAGTGCAGTGCCTAGTGAGGATGCCTAATTACCGATGATGATGAGCATTTAGTGAGGATGACCAATGGGACCGGTTTCGAATTCTGGAGAAGATGTAGATGTTTGTAAGCGTATAGTGTCTC